TCGCTGCATATAGCATTATAAAAGTCCACATTAATTATGTGGCTATTGCGCAACATAACCACAAATTAAAAAATCATTTTAAATTATGTTTTTAATGCATACTAAAATATTATAGAAATTAATTTCAAACAATTTTGGAGGATATAGTTATATACATTTTAGAAAAAATCATGTTAAGTTAAAATTTTGCCGACAAATAATTAAATTTTTAACATTTTGATTTTTTTCTTCTTTTATCTCAGAAAAAAATTACAATTTTTATAAACAATAGCTCATTTTACTCATTGAAACATTCTTTACACTCTTAATTTTTTCAATATTGTTAAAAATATTGTCTTCAAAAAAGTGTAAACAAATCAAATTGTTTCTATTAAATAATTAAAAAAATATACTTTTAACAATATTAAAAAAAAATTACAATTGTAGAGGATATTTCAGTGAGTAAATTGAGTTATTGTTTATTAAAATTTAATAAAAATCTTTTCAAATTCATTGAAATTAATTATTATTAATATTAATATATTTTTGTTTGTGTTAGAAACAATTTTTTAGTTTGAGGTTATGTTACGGTTACCATCCTCCGTAAATCAGGACGCATGATTATGTTCTAAAAATTATTAGTTAAAATTATCATTTTATGGAATTTCATTTGTCATAATTATTTTTAAGCCGAATTTTTATTTGTTCGAATTAGTATTTTGCAGAATTTTCATCAAAACGATTTTCTATATTACAAAATTTTTATGTAACCGAAAATTCACTTCACAGAACTTTTATTTGTTCGAAGTTTTATTTGCTCGAATTTACATTTAACATAATAAGCATTTAAAAGAATTTTTATTGGGTAGAATTTCATTGCATAAAATATTCTTTCAGATGAATTTTCATTTGTTTGAATTATTATTTCATATATATTCCATATAACCGATTTTTCATGCTACAGAATTTTTACTTAACCGAAAAATCATTTAACAAAATTTCTAATTGATAGAATTTTCATTTGTCCGAAATTGGAAATGGCCGAACAAACAATCGACAGAAAGATTTCGGGTCGATTTTTAAAATCAACTAATCAGAATTTTATGGATAAATTTTGATTGGTTGATTTTAAAAATCGCGCCGAAATCTTTCTGTTGATTCGGCCATTTGCAATTTCGGACAAATGAAAATTCTATCAATTAGAAATTCTGTTAAATGATTTTTCGTTTAATTAAAAATTCTGTAGTATGAAAAATCGGTTATATAGAAATTAAATCATTAAATCAAATAATAATTCGAACAAATGAAAATTCATCTGAAAGAATAAAATGAAAATTCTATGCAATGAAATTCTACCTAATAAAAATTCTTTAAAATGTCTATTATGTTAAATGAAAATTCTGACAAATAAAAATTCGAAGAAATAATAATTCTGTGAAGTGAATTTTTGGTTATATAAAAATTCTGTAATATAGAAAATCGTTTTGATGAAAATTCTGCAAAATACTAATTCGAACAAATAAAAATTCTGATCAAAAATAATTATGACAAATGAAATTCCATAAAAATGAAAATTTTAACTAATTATTTTTAGAACTTAAAGTTTATATCTTTTTGATCATTTAATTTTATTGATTCTATTTTACAATCTCGTTTTAAATTTTTCACGTTTTCGTTAACAAATTAAAGGTATTTTACATTTTAATATTTATAAAACCCTTTTTTTATTTCATTCAGGTTACAATATATATAATACTATTGTGTGTTGCATTTCATATATATATATGGACGGGAAATACTCTCTGTTCAGGTAATGTAATCTGGGTTGTGCGATTTGTTCTTGATCCATGCGTGAAACATGCCAGAAATCTCGTTTTGACAAAAAAAAAAAAAAAAAAAAAAAAAAAAAACAGCGCGAATATAACGTGAGCGAGTTTTTTATGACACAAGGGTGATAACCATTGAAAAAGATTCAATCGATAAAATGATTTATGCTCTTTTTCTCTACATTAAAACACAAACACACAGAAATATTAAATTTTTATGTCCGCATTCCAGACTCTTTGTAGCTATAATTTATATTATATATATATATAGATTTCTAGAATTATAAAAAGGGTATATATGCGATATATATACACAATCATGTCAACTCTGTTCAATAACCTTTGATCTTAGGGTTTTTTTTAATCTATCCTATATATATTTATTTGATCGACAAAACTTCAAAGAGAATCGTAATTCTTTTTTCGCAATTTCCAATGTATCGAGTGCAATTTTATATACACGAGAGAAACAATTTCATACAATATAACAGTTTATCGTGTTTTTTTTTTGTTTTTTTTGTTCTTTTATTTATTTTTTTTTTTTTACTAAAATTTTGTTTTAATTTTTCAATTTTTTTTTCAATTAACAAATTTTATTTCTTGTATTTTTGATGGATTTTTAAGTATTTTTCATTGTCGAGTTGTAAATTTAATTTATAGGATAATTTCTCTTATTGAATTTTTGTCATTCTTTTAAAAAACTAGAATTTAATTATCATTTAAAAGTAGAAAATTTATAATGTTCAATTTGATACAGTTTAATTCCATAGAGTTAAATTGTACAGAATTCAACACTGTTCTTGAGTTAATTTTGAAAATAATAATACCTTCGACTCTATATGATTTGATTATATATAATATAATTTTGAAATTTCATATACGTTTGTTTAACTGCATACAGTTTAATTCTATATAAGCATTTTTTAAAATGATGATGAGTGTTTAACTCGGTACGCAATTCAATTAAATACTGGTAATTTGTGCATAGTTTAATTCTACGCGAGTTAATTTTAAAAATAATAATACGCTCAAACTATTACGATTTAGATTTATACAGATAAATTCGATACATAAAAATTTTTTACATTATTTTGTTTAACTGAATTCTGTTTAATTCTAAACAAAAATTTTTAAAATAATTGAATTCTGATTCTGCACTTTTTAGCTACACTAGCGTCTCCCTTCCTTCTATTCTTTGTCCATTCAATTTAATTTTAAATTTATTACAATAAATTATTTTATTAAATATTTAATAAATTTTTCATTTAGTGTAGACTTAAATATCTTTCTTTTTTAATTATGCGTGTGTAGAATTAATCTGTATGCAGTTAAATACATTTAAATAATTTAAACAAAGAGAAAATTTTCTTTGGGAAAGAAAATCTTCTCTAATACCCAAAAATGTCGATATGGGTGATTCTCCGCGTAGCGCACGATTTGGTGTCTGAAACTTTAAAAATATTTTTTTATCGAAATGATAAATATCAAAACATATTTTTGAAGATAAAGTGTCAAGAAATAAATATCCATGGTGGGCCGGAAAAATTTTTTATAATTTTTTAATTTTTTTAAACAAATTAAAAAAAAATTTCTTTGCTTGTTGAATTCTATAAAATAGTTGAAATTTGATTTAAAATGTTTATGGGAATTTTTGGGGTAATTCACAAAAATATATATAGCGCGAACGACAATTAAAAATTTTTATTTCGATAATTTACGGAAATTTTCGAGGTAATTTATGGAAATTTATGCGGTAATTTATAGAAATTTTGTCTAAAATTCATAAAAATGTGTAAAGCATAAATCACAATTAAAAATTATTATTTTGGTAATTTACGAAAATTTCCGCGGTAATTTATGGAAATTTTCGCGGTAATTTACAAAAATATATATAGCGCGAACGACAATTAAAAATTTTATTTCGGTAATTTATGGAAATTTATGCGGTAATTTACGGAAATTTATACTGTAATTTATAGAAATTTATTTGGTAAGTTAAAGTAAACTTACCGGAGCTATGATAGTTTATAATAAATATTTTTAATTTCGTTTGTTTCATTGTGTATTAAACTTGCACTAGTGACGGTCGAAATTCTGTGGCGGGTGGAGACGCTGGGGTCGGTGGAACCGGTGGAGCTGGCGTTAATAATTTTTTTTTTTTTTTTTTTTTGAGAAAATTATCATTTATTTTTAATCAGTTTCATATGTTTCACATATATATTGACTAAAATAATATAACTACACTTTATTTAACCTTTATTATTTAATTATATTCTATTTTTTTTTAAATATTGAAGAGTCGGTGGATGCCGGTGGAGACGATTTTGTGATGCCCTGTACAAAGTTGAATCTTAAAATGTGTAAAAAAAGGATAAATCAATTAGAAAATTGATTATTTTCTTCATGGATCAACTTAAGGAATATAACTTTTGCTGTTACTGAAGTAGAACTATATTAACATTTGACTTTTATTTAAATAATTCAATGTTTAATGATAAAACGCAAAATAACACCATTTTGAAAAATTGTCCGCCATATTGGCTCGGCCATTTTGAATTTTTGAAATCAGGCTTTAGAATCGTAATCAGCGACCCCAAAAACCCCCAAGTAACAATTTTTAAGTATTTTTAAATAATTTTTGCCATTTTTTGAAAAAATTGTCTGCCATATTGGTTCCGCCATTTTGAATTTTTGAAATCTGACTTTAGATTCGTAATCAGCGACCCCAAAAACTCCCGAGTAACAATTTTTAATTATTTTTAAATAATTTTTGCTTTTTTTTTAAAAATCGTCCGCCATATTGGCTCCGCCATTTTGAATTTTTAAAATCTGACTTTGGAATCGTAATCAGCGACCTTAAATACCATAGTATACACATTTACACAAATTTTGGTCATTCAAAAATTTACTGACATTTCGGGCCCACTTATGATATTTTGGCCTTGACTGCGAAGGGGTTAAATACAAAAGTAACTATTGGTTTTTGTTTGTAGTCACAGAAATTACCTTTTTACATTGGAATCGAAATATTATGTGAATATTATTTGTGATTTTTCTTTCATCCATATATAACAATTTTCATATTTTGATAAATAAAAGTGTGAATTTTTGTTGAAAAGTTTGTGCATTTTTCTGAGAACTATAAAATACTTTTTTTCAGAAATATAAATAAAGTTTTTGGTTTGTTTGTTACAGAATGGTGAGAATGAAGGTGAGGTGCTACTGCTGCTGCTGCTGCTACAATGTTGACAATATTATTTTAAGTTTGAAAGAAAGTTTGTAAAACTAGAAAAATTCAATGCGTGCGTTGATTTACTGTGGAGATTGGCGACGAAAAGCTCGGAAGTATGACGTAGTCAGAGTGACCAGGAGCGTTTGGAATGCTCCAGAATTTCGGTTAGGGTCGTATGGAGGGGAAGTACGTAACAACCGACAGCACCTGGTTTTTGAACCTGACGACGAACACAACTACTCAGGATTCCGACAATTTCCTTTACGGATTTCCCGGGAAATATTCCCCATACTCTACTCCTACGGTACGTAAAAATTTATATATATATATTCAAAACATATTACATGTAAAAAGTGTCTCGCATGGAAAATTGAATTTTCTTGTAAGATAAATAGATTTTCTTCAGCTTTTTGCAATTTTCATCTGTTTTTGGCTTCATATATAATGAATATCTGAAAAGTTTTGGCGAATTTTTTTTTATTATTTATTTATAGATAATTTAATCATTATGATCTACATGTTCTTCCGACATATTTTAAAAAGGATTTTATATATTTTTCATTTTTTTAAATACCATATTTTGTGTTATTAATTTTTTCCACAAAAATTGTTACAAAAATTTATTAATTTATCCACGGAGAAAACTGGAGTATTAAATTTTCAATGTTAAAAATTTATTTAGTCAATTTGATCTTCTGAATAATAATATTTACACTACTCTACTATATTTTTTCCTCTGTGAATGGTACACTTTTTTTCATCATTTGTTTTAAACTTCAGAAAATTTAAACTAATTATTTCGACGAAGCTGAAGTACGCAACAACGTTTATGATAAACAATTTTTAAAGAAATAATTTTTTTTTAATGAAAATTTCTCTAATTTTTTGTTTAAAAAATATTTTTTTTATAATTTGTTGATGAATGAAAACTACAAGAAATATTTTTTAGAAAAAAAATTATAGAATTTTTCATTTTAAAAAATTATTTCATTTAAAATCGTTTATCATAAGAGGCATTTCATATGAGAATACGGGGTCATGTCTCGGATTTTTTTCAAAATTCGGTAAATTGTAGTGATAGTAGTGCTAAATAAGTGTACAAATTTTGAATTTAAAATTTTTAATATTTTTCGAGATATTTACAATAACAAATTTGAGCAATATTTTTTTAATATACTTATAACTTTTTTCCTACTAAAAATAGAGAAAAATGTTGTTAGTGTTTTTTACGCGGAAGATCTTAAACTTTTAGAAAAAAATTATTTTTTTAAAAAAATATTAATTTTTAAACAATTTGTTTAAAATATAAAATTTGTTTATAACTGTTAAACATGTTCTCCCTCATTTAGAAGCGCGAAAAAAATCATGAATATTGTTTAAGTCTTAATAAATCGATGGTTAAATTTTTGAGATGGCATTATTTTTTGTTTTCGAGATATTAATTAATTAATAATTAACTAACAAAAGTTAATAAAAAATGAAATATTTTACGAACAAATAAAATTAGAGTAATTTTAAAAACACCATTAGAATGCTTATCAAAATCCGCATCCAACGAGCCCTATATGCACCCTAAAAAAAGTAATTTTCAATCTAGAGGATTCCTCTACAATAAATGCATATTTTCCTCTTAATTTTGGTATCAAAATTATTATTCTTCATTTAAGAGGATTTTCCTCTTAAATTAAATGTCGACATCCAAACCTCGTAAAATTGTTTTTAATGTCAAAGCCATCAATAAAATATTTATAATTTCAATCAAATAATAAAATCTTTGCAGAAAATATATTTTTAAATTAAAATTAAGTAAAATTATAATAGTTCATTTCAATATAATAATAAAAATTGTTTTTTAATATAACATTAACAATGTCATGTTTTTGGTTAATTATCAACATTTTATATTGATAATTAAAATACAAAAAATAAGTTTTCATTAATCAGTTGTAATGATCAACGAGATTTTCAGCGCAAAAATAATTTTAAAACATGATGATATGTTTAAAAGTTAACATTTTTTATAGGACAGAAAAAAATTTCATATATGAAATTATTTAACGTTTTAAAACTTTTTTAAAAAAGTAAATAAAAAGATTTAAAAAATTCGAAAGATTCAAAAATGGGGTTATAGTATTTCTATTTACCTGAGTAGTAAAATTTCACAAGAAATTTTTTTAAATCTAAAAATAGCGTTAAAAATATTCATTTAATTTGAATTTAACTATATTTTCTGTATTTTTAATAAAGCAAATCCATTTTTTTGTCCTTTTTGTTGACATTTTACCAGAAATATTAAAACTGAAAGGTTAAAAAACAACTTCACAACTATCATACCCAGGGAAAGGGATCAAACGATTACATTATTTTTTTCCGTTTCCTTTTTTTAAATCTTCTAAATTTAAAACGGAAAATCTTAATTAAAGAGGAAAATACAAAAGGAATCCTTTTGTCATTCTTCCATTAAAATGAAGAATAAAAATATTCTACATTTCAATTGAATAATCTTGTTTTAAGAGGAAATATTTAGAGGATATTAGAAGAGGAATTTTCCTCTAAGTATAAGATTACTTTTTTTTGGGTGTGAACTATTTCTAATAAACGGGTGTTAAATTAATAATAATTAATAAAATTTATACACAGTAAACTTGGTTGTATCTTTTTCTATTGCAACGTTTTGATGCACATAAGTTATATCAAAAAGAGATCGTTTTGTGTATCATTTTTAGATATGATACACGAAACGGTCTCATTTTTTGATGCAAAAAATTTAATCAATTTACATCAATCATAGCCGAATTGAATCGACTCAAAATTAAACGAATTTTTTTTCAGATATTTTGGTAATAGTACAATTGCGGAGACCATTTCACTATTTAATTTGAAAATGAAAATAACAGAAAATCAAAGACAATGTGCAGTTTTCGGCGCGATTTTTAAAATCAACCAATCACAATTTTATGAATAATTTTTGATTGGTTGATTTTAAAAATCGCGCCGAAAATACTAATTCGAACAAATAAAAATTCTGCTCAAAAATAATTATGACAAATAAAATTCGATAAAATGACAATTCTAACTAATGATTTTTAGAACATAATCATGCAACCCGTTTAATAATCTTTTTTTCTCCGTGTGTATAGTTAACTTGGTTTAATTATAGTATAATTTTCTTGAAATAAGAATCAATTCTAAAATTAAGAAATATTCTTATTTTTTTTACATTATTCTTATATTTTAATCGGTATTTTATTATTCTTCTAACTGAATAATTAAAATTCGAATAAAATTGATTGAGACTGTATTCTAAAATGTGAGCCAAGATTAAAATTTTTTTTTTGCGCATTATATTATAGTTTCAAAAAAAAAATTAATTAAATTTGGATTATAAATTAAAATTTTTTTTTTGTCTATTAAATTTTTTTTTATAATTCAAGCTGGAGAAATGAGATAGAAAGAATTAAATCAGATTTTTAGGGCGCTTCCTTTATGTGCCAGTAATGATAGATTACATTCAGAAATTCAACTTGAATAAGCTTAAATTATACACGGTTTAGTAATAAATGTGAGAGTTGATGATTAACTTATAATAATTTTATCTTTGCTTTGCAAACCTTTCGAATGGGATATATTGATAAGACCATATTCACTTTTCAAAGAACAAAAATTGTTCCATTTTATAGAGAAGAGTAGAGCATAAACAATTCTGATAATCAATTAATTTCGTTGGTGTAAAGAATCTAATAAATTACATTTTTACTGTTAAAATCAAGTCAAGCGTTTATTTAAAGATGTAAAAATAAATAAAAAAAAAATTTCGAATTGCATTTCTGCTGAAAACAAAAAGAAAAAATAAGAAAAATTTCCCACGTGAAATGATTCTATAGAAACAGTCACATAAAAATTAATTAATATTAAAATTTTGTATTTTCAAAATTTTTGTCTACAGAAATTTAGAGTTAATTTAGACATTTTAAATGGTACTAAAATTAATTTCAAATAACCATTTTTAATTTTTAAAAAGTAAATTCCTATTCAAGAAATTCTGAAAAATATTCTTTTATGTATGTAGTACATTTTTTAGGGGTTCAGGTTTTTTTTTATTTAAATTATTGAAGGTCATTAAAAATCCATTATTTAGACAAAAATTTCTGTTGGAGAAGTTTTGTAAAATATTGAATTCTAATATTCTGGAAATGGTATATGTAAATGAAAGCAATTTCTTAATAAATTATTTCACTGATATGACATTTATTTCTGATATTATTTTTTTGAGATCCTTTTTTTTGAGATATTAAATTTTTTGTTTTATCAGACAGAAATTTTTCAAAATTGTCTTGTTATCGACTATTTTGATTATAGATTGTTTCTTTTATTGATTGTCAATTATTTCGATATATCGATTATATTTTAATTATTTAGATTATCGATTTTTTAATTATTTCGATTAGCGATTATTTTGATTATCCATTGTTTCGATTATGGATTTCAATATATCGATTATCGATGATCAATTATTTCAATTACCGATTGATTCGGTTATCAATTATTTCAATTATTAATTGTTTCGATTCTCGATTTCAATTATGTTCTCTCTAAATCTGAATAAGTGAAATTTCACTTAAAATGTGTCAAAAGTCTTCCACGTAGAAAAATAAGTGTATATGCACTTAAAAATAAGTGAAACTTCACTTATTTTTGAGTGAAAACCACTTATTTAAGAGTGCATATACACTTATTTTTCTACGTGGAAGACTTTTGACACATTTTAAGTGAAATTTCACTTATTCCTTTTTTCGTGGAGCATCACATATGAGGCAAAATTCCTGAAATGTCCGAACAAAAAATTAAAAGTTCTCGAATTTAATCCATACTTTTCTAAAATGTTGTTATTGTTGGTGAAAGTCTAAAAATCAATTATTATTGAATTTAATTAAATAGTTTTTGAATTACAGCGTTTTTAATTTTTGACTTTTGAAAAAAAAAATTTTTTTCAATGTACAATATTTATAAGTAGAATGCATAAATGTTAACATATATATAATGATTTTTAAAGCTTTTTTGACGGGCTACACGCTGTTGATAAAATTTTTTTCTTTTAAATAACATTTGACCTTGAAATTCAAGGTCAAAATGTTAATTTACGTTTATCTTAAAATCGGATTTTTTAAAATTATTTTTAACTATCTCAATGGAAAGCTTGACTAATTTCCTACAAAACATGTAATTTTCAGAGTAGGATCTTTTAAAGTTTTTGAGAAATTAATTAATTAATTAATTAATGTTTATAACAAATCAAATATTTTA